CCCCCCGTCACCCTCAAGGAGCTCACAGTGTGGGGTAGGGGCAGATGTGTGAGCAGGTAAGCCACGCTGCACCTATTTGTACTGGAAGGTATACACAAGGCGCTGTGGGGTGTGGGGTGTGGCAGAGCGAGCAGGGTGGGGTTGGGGAGAGCTTCACAGACAGTCAATAAATAGACTTGCCCACACGGGCACTCACTGAACAGGCAGCATGGACCCACCAACGCCGGGTTTGCTGGAAGCCTGTCTGCTTCCTGGGGCCCCTTCCTGACCCATTCGCACCTGGCTGCAGTGATGGAGAGCAACTCTCCACTCCAGGCACAGATGAAAGAGGCCCCACTACGGGGGCTGCCCAAGGAACTCAAACAGAGCTCATGTTGCCCCTGACCCCAGGGCAATACACACCCCACAGCCTCTCTCAGCTTAACACTGTTTAAGAAACTCCAGGCCCGGTCTTTTGCTTTTCTACCTTTTCACATGGGCAGGGTACCAGCTCCTCTCGGGTGCCAGCCCTAGGTGGACACCCCTCAAAGCAGCTGCACTCACAGCAGTCTCACCAGCTCCATCAGCTGTTGAAAGTTCCTGCTGGGGTCGGACAGGCCGTTCCTGATGTTCTCCAGCAGGCACCTCTTCAGCTCAAACACGGCTTCACTGTACCCCAAGCTCACGGGGGCCATGGGAAGAGCCCCGTGCCACAGGCCAGGGACATGCCAGATGTGCTGCTTCTCAGGGTCACAAAAGGGCAGGTCCACCAGCGTCCGGAGGCCTTCTCCTTGCCTGTCCACATATGAAGCAGCTCTGCTCACGTCCACGGGCTGCTCCAGCAACGGCCTCCTCTCCCGTGGCTTTGGGCCAGGGGCAAAGGTGTCGTGAAGGTTCTGGTACACAAACTGGTAGTTGGGCATGTGCCCCATTTTCTCCAGCCTCAGAAAGGCATGTACAATAGCCGGTGGGATGTCCCTTGTTTCAGCTAAACTGACCACGGTGACGTTGCTCAGCCCCATAATCAAAGTGGCAAGGGAGGCCTCCAGCTCAAAGCGCTCCCCAGCCGTGGCCGGGGCACCTCCTATCAAACCCCCAGAGTCTATCACCAGGATGTGGTCACAGCCTAGGTCCTGGCTGAAGCTCTCGGCCACCGTGACGAGCTGCATGAAGGCCCCTCGAGGACCACGACCCCTCCCTGTGGCAAACCGAAGCCCGAACATGGTGTTGAGAAGAGTGGACTTTCCCGTGCCTGGCACACCCAGCGCAGACAGCACCACCAGCCGGGACCTTCTCTCCAGGCGCATGTGCAGCTCCTTCAAGAGCCCTGTGACCCAGCGCAGTGGGGTGCTCCACGTGCTCCCGTCGATCAGCTCCAGGGGCAGCCCCCTCACCAGCAGCTCCAAGGCCAAGCCTGGGAAGTGGGCAAACCGCCTCTGACCTGCGGACAGCTTCCCTGCCTCCACAAGGCAGCTCTCTGCCTCGTAAAACTGTCCCATCTCCCGCAGGAAGTGCTCCACCCCCAGGGGCTCTGGCAAGAGCGGCTCACTGAGGTCCCCAGCCCCACCCTGCTTCAGTCTCAGGGTCAGAACAGTCTCCGGAGGCTGTCTCGGCCTTGGCTGGGCCACCCAGGCCAACCCCCACTCCATCCACCTCAGGAAATACTGCCTCTCGCCCAGAGAAGGGCAGCTGATGCCAGCAATAAACTCCTGCACATCCCCAGTGGGGTCGTAGCCACTCTGCTGCATGCGAAGTTCCAGCAGCCGGCGCCTCAGCTCTGCCCGGTGCTTGTCCGGAGGGTCTCCGGCCCACTGTACCTGGCACAGCTCCTTCTCCACCCGGGCAGCCTTTCTCCACAGCTCCCCCTGTAGCCTCAGCTCTTCACGGCGATAGGCGTCCGAGTCTTTGATATTCCTGGTGATCCGCTCCATCCGGTCCTTTGCCCGCTGACACTCCTCAGAGTCCTCATCGACCCTCAGCCCCAGCTTGCGGGCTGCATGGGCCATATCCTCTACCGACACTCTCCTGCAGGGAGACCTGGCCACGTTTGCCACAATGGAGCGGACCCTGCGCACGAAGCGTGCGCCGTCCGTGCTGCTGACCTTCACGAGCACGTGCGAGTGGTCCATCTTTAGCACAGGGATCAGCCTGTTCAGGAACCGCAGGTTCGAGTTCCGTTTCCCACGGTAGGGACTCAGGATGAAGTAGTACTTGGTGGCCGATCCCTTCATGGAGGACAGCAGTTTGTACTCCTTCTTACTGATGTTGTCGGTCAGGATGAACACAGCCGAAGAGACTTCTGTCAAGAGCTTAAACTGCAGCCAATGAGACCCAATGTCACCTCGGAGGTTCAGAAAGGCCACGGGCTCTGGGAAAAGGTCCAGGTCCTCCCTGCCACTGGGCAGGGACCAGGAAATCTCCACCAGCCCGTCTGCAATCTCCCGAGAGCTGGTGCCTAGGCTCAGGTCCCGATGCCAGAAGCAGTCTCGCTGCCTGTGGCCCGGGCTCAGCACAGCGTTGAGCAGCTGGGACTTGGAGTTGCTGCTGACCTCCATACGCACAAAGGCAAAGGCAGGTGCCCGGGGCAGGACCACGCTGTCTTCCCTGAGGCTGCCCATGCCCCTTGGGGGCTGTGCCCACCACGTCCGCACAATGCCCCGCATGGCCCACAGCAGTAAGGTGTGGCAGTGGTTCTCCGAGTCAGGCAGAACAAGTGGGAGCGCAAACTGGCAGAGAGACATTCTCAGCACGATCTCTTGCTGCAGGAAACTGTCGGAGGAAAGTAGCAGGGCACATAGGAGGTCCAAAGGGTGCACGGGGGTGTCAGGGGTGGGCAGCTCCGAGAAGGAGTAGATATCTGCGGAGACATCATCGGCTGTGTCCCAGTAGATGACCTCCTCCTCCTTCTCCACAGGTCGGGCGTCCACGGGTGCATCCAGCACCATCGTGGTGTTCCTTGCTTCGGCACTCAGGGCCTGCAGCTTCCTGAGGAAATTCCAGGGCAGGTCTCTGGGAGCCTGAGGAGCCCAGTTTTTCATGCTGTCACTGCTGATCTGCAGGGCATCCTGGAGGCCCAGTTTCTGGGCCTGGTATGTCTCTAGTCCCAACAGCAACAGCATTTCCTGCAGGCGGCTCCTCTCCACTGTGGAGGAAAATGAAAACTTAAGTGCTCACCATGCAGGGCAGGGCCCAGGGTAGAGGCAGGGAGGGAACAGCAGCATGGGGGGGTGG